GCTCCGGTGGAGCCAGAAAGCCCCCCTCCATCTCCAGGTGCGGTTCCTGTGGCTCCGGCCACCCCTCAGATAATTTATCTGCAACCAGGGGGGTGGAATGGATACCCCCAGCGAACGAGAGGGTCCTATGGAGGCAGAGGAAGAGGAAGCAGTGGACGAATGAGATGCTACCAATGTGGGCAGTACGGCCATGTGAAAGCGAGATGTCCAGAGTGGTCACGTAACAGGCGGGCCCAGGAACAGCAGGGAACTCCCGGGCCCAGTGGGCTGGTGAACTCGGGGCATGGGCCCCCCGGGTACTAGGGAGGCCCTGAGAATCAACAGGGGAATCAGGGAGGGCGTCAGTTACCACTTACAATGAAAACACAAGTGAGTTCAGTTTCAAGCCCTGACGAGGAACCCATGGTGCCAGTTGTTGTGGCTGGCAGGACCATTAAAATGATGGCAGATTCAGGTGCTGCTTACACCTGAACAATTACAGGAAGCTGGGAAATAGCCATATAGCTAGTTGCAGAGCTGACCAGTGTTATGGTAGCCCCCAGGAGGGTGAGGGAGGACTGAGGTTGGACTCAAGTGTGCAGACCCAGGTGCTAGGGGGAAAAACATGATGGTAGCAGGTAACAAAAAGAACACAAAGTATCAAAGGAACATAACATGTGTCGTCTACAGCGGAAGATGATGTATGCGTGTAGTATAGCACATATGTAGTGTGAGAAGAGTCAAGCCAAAACGCACAGTGTCTGTCAGCGTAGCATTCCACCCACACGTACCTAATGCGGCACTGTGTTAGTTAGTTATTTAGCTAGTTATTTATTTAATCTTCCGGCCCCGACGGAGCGTCTGCCAGAGGTATAAGTATGGACCAAGTAATCATCAGGATGCACCCCAGCTGTGTGCATCGACAAACCAGTTGCTAATTACTGGAATGCAACACAGCTGAGGTGCAGAGCCCACATGATGGAGGAGAGAAAGACGGAGGAGAGGCAGTGGCCGCCGAGCGGCCCTGACAACCAGGGAGAGAGTGTGAGTGTATGAGAAGACCTGAGAAGACTGACCTGACAAAACTCCAACCTCTGCAGAGGCCCAAAAATCAAGGTGGTCCTGTGTCTCGCCCTCTGAAACTTTACAATATATTGTACAATAAATGATGATTGGCACTGCATGTGATTCTCCCTGTGAATTAATTCTATACACGACAAAGTTGTCACAGAATTTCAACTTAAGTTTAGGATTTACTCAAAATATATTTGAATCAAGTGAGGGGCAGTCATTTTTATCAGGTAAATTATATTAATTGTATCCATACTATGCAGCCTTAACAAGAACTCTCTCTTTTTATCAAAGAGCCTACCCCTGCGTGGCTATGGGCTGTGGTTGCCATGGCAGTTGGCCTGTTGCTGGTGCTAGCCCTGGTGGTGTTTCTCTTGGTGAGGAAGGTGAGGCGGCAGAAGGCAGAGAGGGAAGGCAATGTCAGGGTGAGACACCGGTCTACAGTCACCGAGAACGACGGCAAAGCCAAGGTCTGGACACCCCACCCAGCTCACCATGAACAACGGGTCAGATCCAGCAGGGAGAAAGAGAAGATCAACTTGAGGAAAAAGAAGAAAGCAAAGGAAGCAGAGAAAAAGAGAAGAAGGGAACCACTGGGGGAGGATGCCATTCGAATGCGGTGAGAAAGATGCTTTGAGAGGATCTCTAGTCTGGAGGAATGATGTCATTTATACAAATATGCTGTATCCTGTACAGTTATTACAATGACTGAATGTCACTTTGTCCTGTTAGTCTGGTGGATTTTGCCGTGATATTTTGTCCTGGAACACGTCTACCTTAAATTTATATTATACATTTACAATTTCACAACAACAGCTGAATGGTAGTTGAGAAAAGAGAAGAGAGAAAATCAATTACAAAAGATTTCCTACCAGTCCCAACCATTTTCATTTGCAACCATCCAAGCAAGAAACAAGTCTGTTAATCTGCCTGTTAGGGTGAACACTGGTGCTTTGATTATTAGTTTTTGTTAATCAATTAAACAGAAAAGTCAGCCACAACAGTTCTGATTATGGGTTTGTTCCAATTATCAAGCAGAAATGCCACACATTTGCTGGTTTATTGATTATGGTTATGTCTATGTTCGGCCGTCTTATTTGTCAGTCTATAACAAGTAATCTGAAGAAATTGTTACAGAAATGTTTAGTATTTTATAACATTTTCTACTGTAAGCATAATGTTAACCTAAAAAAATCAAGAGAATAATCAACAGTGAATATAATCAATAGTTGCATCCCTAACTGCTCCTGGTGATCAAGTCGGTATGGACACATATCATGTAATCTTAACACTGATTGCAGCCAGGAACCTTTGTTGCATGTCAGTATTCCCCTCTGTCCATTTGTTTCCTGCCTCTCTATACAAAGTTGCAGAAAAATCATTTAGATGAAAAGACACTTTTGCAACCCCAACCACAATTAACTCAGGACCATGTTAATTCTTCCTGAGGGATTTGTATACAAGAGAACCACAGTGGTTTATTAATATGATACACAAAAACTGTGCTTTGGTTTTCAGGCCTCTCAAAAGGGACCAGGATATAGGAAGTGACACAGACTTTACCCAGAGTTCGATGGAAGACATCAATGTGAGATGCTCCAGGCGACGCGAGGACCCCTCCATCTGTGACCACAGGACCCCAGAGCAGAAACACTACCGTGCTGGAACCTCACAGCCCCACAGACCTATACAATGTAAGGTTTTTCAGTCATTCATTAACTCGTTTACTCAACCATTCTTTGTTCCCAAAAATGTTATTCCTCTGGTGATCTGGTATATACAGATGGACAACAAATTCAAGGAAAAACCTTATTAAATGATGGCAAAATAGTGTATGGTTTGATTTGCCACTTTTTCCTGTTTTATATAATTGGAAATGAAGTATCTTTGGGTTTGGGTCTTTGACAATATCCCCTTGGTGCTTTTTTTTTTTTTTTTTTACTGTTTTCTGACATTTTATACATTTATATTTTATAGACAATTTTGAAAATAATCTAATAAAAACATCATTTGTTGCAGCCCTAGACTGAAACCACACTATATTACAATCACATATGACACGTACAGCACTTAAATTAGGCCTGTATTCACTGGCAAACTTGGATTCACTTTATTCAACAATGTACACATTAACTAAGAAGTTAATAGAGACGCCATACTCATGGTGTAAGACATTGTAACTAAGCAGGACTTGTACTAACACACTGTTTGAGACATCAAAGACTGCAGGTAAATTATGCATATCCTTCCATATATTTGTGCCTGTATCAAAATCCTTACGTTTCATGATTTTTGTTCCCCCAGCTTCACCTGGAGGATGGGAGAGAAACACCTTGCCACCTCCTCTGCTCAGCCCCCCTCCACATGTCTGTATACAGTTTTTCTATATTCATTGGATTTCTTTCCCATGTCTTTATGTCAATTAGGGTATTGTTGTAAATTAGATGATTTTAGCTGCCTGAGTTGTCTTTTTGCTTGTCATGACTTTACAAATTTTAGTTTCTTCTCTAAGTGTCTTTGGTTTTTGTTTATGATTCTTGTTTAGAACAAGAAAAATGTTTGTTTGGTGCTTGAATTTAATGTTTTTGTTTGTTTAGACCACACTCTATAGAGCCATATTATCTATGTACAAATGGCACTATATGAATGAACAAGTTAATTAAATTTATTAAAGTGTCTTGCCATATTTACAGCCCATCCCTCATGGCATTACAAGACACCTTTACATCATACACTTCTACTTTTTTTCCTGCAAGGAAACAACTTCCAGCCAGCTGGCCGTGCACTATATGTATTGCATGAGTTTTATATTCAATATAGCTTGCCTGTCATTGCAGTCAGCGGAGTGGTGTGGCCCGGATGGGTCTGTGGTTCTGATCCGAGCTGTGCGTAGCGGGCTGGACAGAGTGGTGCTGGAGCTGCTGCGAGCAGGAGTGCCAGTCAACAACACTGATCATACTGGTAATGCATCCCTGTCACAGTTACAAATGTTAATCTGGTACCTGAAAGTCTGGCTCAACCCCAAACCTCAGTATTTGTAAGTAATTACTGGTGCCTGTTTCATCCTACATATAGTAAGAACAATATGAATGCTTAAGATTGTAGTTGATTTCATTTAAGTTACAGTTCACAGGGAAATAAACCATCTCATAAGGCAAGCAAGTTAAAATAATAATGAAGATTTATGTGCAAATGCAGTTTCATCAGTGCCCCTGTAGTTCATTATAGGGTCCAAATACTGTCCTGTGAATGTAATGTCATCACTGAGGTCAGACATAGGGACAGTAATTATGCTTTAACCCTTTTATACATGGTTAGGTTGAAAAATAGACTGATTTTATATATCTTTTTGAACATAAATCTACAGCCATGCTAGTAGCTCTGTGAGGCTGTATTGTGCTAATGCTAACCACAGCATGCTGATGTTTACCAGGTTTATCATGTTCACAACTATTAAAAAAGGGAAAAGAATTTGACAAAATAAAATGACAAAATACAATTAATTAAAACCAGAAAGTGTTGATCATGCTGAAAAACGCTAAAGAATCACTAATGTTATTAAAATTCACCCTATGGAGGACGTGAATGTCTCTACTAGATTTCACTGCAATTCATCCAATTGTTTTTGATAGATGTCATTAAAAATAAAAAATATCAACCTACTGGTGATGCTAGACAAAGAGGGAAGGGATTACCAAAGGCAGTAGGCTTCATCCTCTGGGACCATGAATGAACATCTGCACAAAGGTTTATGGTAATCCATGCAATAGTTCACCTTGGAGAGAAAAACAGCCATTATTTTCTGACACACTGAGGGGTTGAGTAACATCCTCTTTTTGTGTCCCTCCTTTCCTCTCCTGTCCTCTTCTTTCTGTGGCTTCCATATCGCTCCCTCTCTCCTTCTTCAGTTCCCCTGCTGCCCTCCTCAGACTCAGAACAAAGTTAAAATGCTCTAGTGCTCCTGCTCCGGTCAATGGACATCTTAACTTTGTTGCTTATCTGTTTCCTTCTTGCTTTTGCTCCCTTTTGTCTGTCTCTCCTGTCTCCCTTTTAAGACATACCTTATGTTTTGTGTCTTTGTATCCCATCTTTGTCATCTCATTCTCACTTCGGCTGAAACAAGTCATCTCCACATCCCATTCCTTCAATCTCCCTTCCTCTTCACCATCTGGGCTCGACTCTGTTGTGTAATGGTTGTTCATTGGCTGACTTACTCCCTCCCTTCTTCCCCCTCACCTCCCCTCCACTCACACTGTCTCTCTCAGGGAGATCAGCCCTACACTGGGCATGCTCAGTAAACCACCTCTCTCTAACAAGGACCCTCATTCGCTATGGGGCCGCTGTGGACCTGCAAGACAACAAGGTAAGCTTTGGAGGTTTCTTCATGCTACTGGTATTAAGTGGGACTAAAAATCATATTAGACAAATTGGATTACATATCATTCACAAACATCAGTATCTTGTTACATGTATGATTTTTTTTCTACATTAGGGTGAAACGGCACTCTTCCTCTCCGCCCTCCACGGCTGCTATGACTCCACCAGAATTCTCCTCCTTCATGGTGCCAACCTTGAGCTGCATGACCGGAGAGGACGTCGACCGATTGATGTGGCCAGAGAGGGCATGCATCACCAGGTCCTGGAACTTCTGTTGGCTCACCAAATTCAGAGAGGGCCTGTTCCCTTGGATTCAGCCAATGACATGCTGTGGGATGAACGTGGTCTGATGTACTCGCCATGGATCGGATCACAAGGCCTGCCTGGAAGAAGCGCCTCCTTCTCTGGGATCATAGCCCATCATGATATTACTCCACCACCACCAAAGTAAGATTAATCAAATATCATGCACAGACAGTCAACAGAACTAGTTTATAATAATGTACCATGAGCATGTTAGAAATTTTCATAAACAATTTTACAACAATTAATTGATTAGTCATTTGACATAAAAAGTAATCTGATGACATTTGATAAGCATTAATAGTAAACTTTGACCAGTTCCAGCTCATCAATTGTGGGGATATTCTTCATCTTTTGCAATAGTTAACTGAATATCTCTAGAAATCTACATTGGTCAAAAGCATGGGCTTAAGGGACTAGTTGGGAAATTTAAAATGTTTTCTGACATTTTATAGAGTAAAAAATGAATCAAGAGAAACCAATAAACTAGATAATTAATTGATGCTTTTCTTGCTCTGCAGAAAAGCAGTATTCCCAAAAGTAATGTTCATTCAAAAACATACATTTTACACAGCAAAATTGCAGCAGTGAAACCATTACAACATACTATAGTAAGTATAAGGCAGAATCAAAATCCTCGACTTTAAAGTACCTCAGTATATAAACTGAGTTTGAAGATTATCCTAATCACTTTGACTTAGTTTTCTTATTCTTTTTAGTCTATTTTTACTCTACTTTTATTCTATTTTAGTTTTCTAAATGGTATGGCATTCAGTACTAGGTGAGAGAGAAATGGTAGTTTGATTTTCTGTATAGATTGTTTAGGTTTCTTTTGTTGTTGTTTTACTGGCCACCAAATAGCAGCCTTTTAATTGTAAATTGCATTTGATGGGATCAAACATGTAAAACCACCACTACTTTGCCAACTTCTCTATGAAGTCTAATATCGCAATGAATTTCTTGTCTTGCCAGTGACTGGTCGATGAGCCGAGTGCAGTACCCTTCCCCTCAGAACTGGCGCCCACAGGTCAACCAGTCAGCAACAGCACTGGTCCCTCCGAGAGTCATGGGCCGGTCCCCTCGGCCAATCAGCACCTTACAGGAAGTGACATCAGAAGACGAGGATCGTGACAGGCATCAGGAAGCCCCCAGAGCTGCGACACCTCACTTCCTGTCACCCCAACCAGCCCCTCGGCAGCGTTCTTTTTCCTGCACCCAGCATGCACTGCAGCATCGCCCCAGTGCCCACCAACTAGAGCCCAATTACATTATTGTGACAGACAGAACAGCCAGTGAGCCCATAGAAAGAGTAGTTGTTTCACCACCCACAGATACTGACACCCAGTTGGAGAGCCAGCCAGTTGTAAACAGCGATAATCCCAGTAGAGCAGAACAAGCAGCCATGAGTCTAACAAATACAGAGCAGAAAGCTAGAGGTGAGAGGTCGAACAACACAGCTGACTCCAGACAAACAGCTTTGTAGAGAAGGGGACCAAGCTAGGAAATTTCAGCTCCCTAGTAAAGGTATGTTGACCGAGGGATGCTAAGTTTTAGTTTGGAGTTACAGTAGGTAGATATTGTTGTTAAGCCCAGTGCAAAGCAGAAGGCTAACAGGTAGCTGGAGGAGGTCCAACCTTGATTTACTGTAATATTGTAACCTTAATTATTATCCAATATGCATCCATTGCATATTACTTATTTGTTAATTGACTGTCAAATTAATACACAACATATTTGGAGATGTTCCAGCCTAAATCACATCCCCTGTTTTTATTCAGCCTTGATAAAGTATTATTATTATTATTATTTTCTAGGGAGGGGGATACTGTTAAATTTTCTGTATCAATACAGTTGGTAATAAAACATGTTTGACATGAATGCCAGTCAAATGTCTGGCAGTGACCTTGAAACTGATCTACAGTATGTTCACATGTAACAGGTTGTATTCTGATTACTGCAGAAATATCCAAGGAGCCATGATAAAAAATAAACTGTGCACACATTTGCACGAAGGAATCAGAATCCTGCTGCAATAATGTATTTTTATGTAAATAATATGGATTTTTCTTATCCATTTAAATCTTTGAGAATATGGGTGTTTAGCCAGTGACCACCAGAATCTCAAACTCTGTTATCTTCTTATATACCAACTTCTTTTTTCAAATCTTTATTAACAAAACCAATGTACAATGATTAGATGTCAGAGCCTGAAGAAAAGGAAGCAGAATGGCATATCAGAACAATTTAATAAACACTGCCAATAAACTTGACAGTTAAATAAAATTACATGCTTTTCTCAACCTTGCAGTTTAATGATGCACTGTTTTATTAACTTGGAGGTCTTGAAAGGAGATACAACAGAAACACAATGTTAGATGAAAAAGAAATGTTTTTCATGATGTTATTAGGATTAGAATTATGGCTTCATTAGGGGAACATGGTCTTCTTACAAATGGTCACCACACCTAGATGAGTTTCATTTGGGTGAAGAAGCCACTGATGTTTCCGGCCTCCAGGTTATGCATTGAATGTCATGTCTGAGTCATGGTGAGCAGATAGAAGAGCTTCCAGCAGCCTGATACACCATGCAGCAATTTGGAAGTCCCCAAGGCTTCCCAACTGTTTTTGTTTGTTATTTAAAACCCAGCCTGATTTGTAAACGTTACTGGGATTTAAATTAAGTTTGAGGTGGATTTAGTTTGAGCCATTATATAAAATCGTTTGGCCTTAAGTGAAAATAACTCCTGACGATGTCATGACATACACATTTATTTCAGGACACTGGTCAACAAGGACTACACATCTTTTGTCCCACACTGAGCTGTGATTCACACCAATTCACCGCGGCTCTATGCAGATTTGGCGCGTGTCTGCAACACATCTGCATGCGCCATGGATCAAAGGCCTGCTGGGTTAGCGGATTTAACGCCTTTGAGACAATTGTCCATCTCAAACTCCCACTGCCCAGATTCCAGCTGCAGTTTGTTTGATGCTAGAGAACAGAAACGACATGATAAGAATGTGACCGAGCTTTTCATTGTTTTGCTGACTGACCATTTCAGTTACAGAGGTTTACTAGTCTTGACTGGGATTCATTCTATTTTTTTCTTTTCAGCTTCAAACACTAAATGCCTCTAGATAAAGAAAGTCTTCTCGTGGGAAAGGAGGAAACGGCGCCACATTTACTGCTTTACTGCCTGTTAAAACTGATACATCAGTGGGGAGGGTTCCCACGGACAGGGGACGCTTCCAACGCAGAGTGAGATTCAAATGAGTTAGACTGAAAAAAAGTGTTCAATGATATGAGCAGCTCTTTAAACTTGTGCAGTTTCTCTAAAGCGTTATATCATCTAGGTTTGCAGCTTGTGAGTATCTGATATAATGCTGCCATTGTCAGCAGGGTGAAAAGTGCAACACGTTGCTGCCTAGTCCTGGGTGTCGAACTAACGCGGGCGCATTCACTGTAATTATTTCACATGTCCCATATTGATATCAGACTTTGGCTCTACGCAACAACCACTGATCTTAACTCTCGCTTAACATCAATACATATATCTCTACCTTTAAGAAATAAAACAAAAAAGAATCAAGCTAATGATAACTATTAATATTTGACAAAAAAGAAAGGAGTGTACCAGACCCAGAAATACTGCAATACTGGATTGATGCGTGGAGTAAATGGAGTAAGCTCCTATTCCACCTCCTTGTTCCAAAAATCGATTTAATATATGGTTCGCGGGTAGGAGAAGACATATGAGATATTAAACTGATAAGATTTTTTTTTTTTTTTGTGGAAAGCCGAGAAAGTAACGGAGGCTTTCTCCGCACAGTCACTGTGGCTGATGGTCTCAGTATCTTTCTCAGTAACAACTTAATTCTGTGAGATAAAAAAAAAAAACATTCCACACAAACAGCAGTGAAGTAAAAGGCAGACAATCACAGAAAATGTGTAATTCTAACAAAGTATGTTGTCTGCATTATCAACTGTAAAAAGAAAAAGCCATATATGGTCATGTGACACGTTCTAGTCCAATAAGAATTGACAACGTGAGTACTGTCTATATTTACTTATATAACATGTATTTTAGATGAATGTAATGTCACTTGAGTTGTGAATGAGAACAGAAACTGAAAGTCACACAGAGTACTCTCTGAAGTAACAAAAGAATGTCTGATAGATTATCTAACAACCTTACCAAACTACGGGGTCTCCCTCGCCCTCTGGTGGACACTCGCGTGACCTGCGCTCCGCTGACCGCCTGCATGTCCTCTGCACCGTGGGCCATGTCTATTGCCCATCGTGAAACCAAGTTAGTAAAGTAGTAAAGTAAAAGTTAGCCTACTCTATTTGCTGGAAACAGGTGGAAATGGAAGGTAACCCATACCAGCCCGGCTCGGCACGATTAAAACGGGCTGACCCATACTAATGGAAAAACACCACAAGTTCTCCACTTGTATACAGTCAATGTTCTCCACATTGAAGGTTTCTGTAATGCTCTAGGGCAGCGCTCACCCCTGCAGTGCCCAGAAAGAAAATAAAATAGATATTAAAAAAAAATACAACGTCCTAAATGATCTGGCATAGTACAACCCAAGATCAGCTTTACACACGTCAAAACCCCCACATTCTGCAGAAAGATGACTGTAAAAATTAAATAAACATCTATATAACTGGCAATATATTTTATGACTATTTATGACAAAGCATGGCAACAAATGGCTCATTTTACGCACAGCTTCAATTTCCTCAAAAAATGAGTTATTTATTAGGTTAGTTACAAGTGGACTAATAATTATTACACCCTAATATAATATAAAGCTGGGTGCTGGAAATCGAAAAATACAGGGTTTTATTCCGTTTTTTGGATGTTTTTTTCCACCTGCCTAAATTCTTTCTAAGTCGAAAAATGAGAATTCAGGATTAATGGTGTGAATCGCCACCACGTGGGGCTTTTTATCCTCAAGTGTGGGGGTCCACACTTATGCTCCTTACACACGTGCCAGCAAACTCTCAATAAGCACATACACGTTCTTTAGGGATTTTTGGTTTTCTTTATTTACAAATGACAAATAAATTAATGTGCAAAAATACTTCAAAAAATGACGCGTTTGGCACAAATTGGCCTGCGGGAGACTTAGCAGCACTGGATGGAATCATACGTTTACAGTATTTATACAGTTAGCAGATTTTACACATGATCAATGTATTGCACCAAAAATGTTCACGGTCTAGTCAAATGAACAACACATGTTACTGTACTCAGACATTAATCACAATGATAGAGTCATTTAAAGTTCAGTCTGTGAAGCTGTGAAGCTGTGGCCTGGTGATCAGGGCCAGGGTCGCCACAAAGGCTGGGTGATCGGGTGACTCTGAGGCCGGCTCTGTTTGCTCGCCGTACTCACCACTTTCTGGGACTGCTGGGGGGTTGTGGCCAAGCCTCCTCGGTTCTGAACACAACTGGCCACGTTTAGGGCAGGCCGGCACAGTCTGCGCCCGGACCTGTGTAATAGCATCTGAAGAATAGCCTTGGAGGAGTCCCTGAGAAGCAGAGAGCTGGAGGTGGAACTGGAAGAGGAAGCTCTCCAATGGACACCTGCAGAATCAGAGTGTGAGCTGGCAAAGCGAGCAGCAAACAATGCATCCAGTGCTGCTCCGAGCCACAGGCCTTTCCCTTCAGGTCCTAAGAACTGAGTTGCTCTCTGCAGGCAGGTGGAGAAACCGTCTCGGAAAGACAGTTTTTGGCCTCCACCACCACCCCCGGCTCTTGTGGTGTTCTGAAGGAACAGGACTGTGTGCTCCAATATCTCAGCTTTCTCCAGTCTGCGTTGAGTTTCCTCCTATGACAGAAACAAATAGTTAATAAACGATTTCTCACAGTTCCTACTGAAAGGCATTTGCTCTTGTAGCATGAACAAACTGACGCTGGCGCTATGTGACATTTACCTGTCTATGCAGCAGAAGAGTCTTAAGGTTTTCCAGACTGCGGTTTATTCTCTCTCTTCGACGTCTCTCCACCTGTGGTTTGAGAGTCTGCACGGGACAGAAACGAAACAATTAAAAGGATGTAATGAGACTGACACATGAAAACGTTTCACTGTTTTCATGTTTTCTCCCACATACAAAGTGATGTGCATCTCAGACAATATCATTATAGGCTACTAATAGCAATCATCATAAATGATACCAGCACCTTTCTTTTGGCCTTTGCGTCCTCTGAACCCTGAAGCCGTTTCATGATTGAAGTTATGCAGCGATGTCAGTCAGAGCTGAATGTAGTCACCCAAGCTTCAGTGTGGACTTTTAAGCCATAGGTGGGCGTGGCCGTAAGCTCCTCCCATCAGCACCCGGTGTAAGGCTGTTATTCTAGTCACCAAATGTCTGTGGAACAGACAATATTCCAAGAAAACCTCTACTCTGCTGTCTTTTTTAATGTTGGAAGAAGTACTCAGATGCTTTATTTAAGTAAAAGTAGCAATGCCACAGTAAAATACTCTGCTACCATCAAAAGTCCTACATTCAAAGTTTTATTTAAGTGAAAGTACCAAAGTATTGTCATCAAAATATATTCGAAGCACGACACATTATGCAGCTTTCACATTATTGATCCATTACACACATCGCATTTGATGTTACAGCTTGTAAAGGTGGAGCTCATTCTAATTTCGTTGTATTCTTATAATTTGCAGTACTTTATAGACTGCTGGACAGCTTGTGAATCTCCCACCAGGGACTGAGGCTCATTATTGTGTATTTTGTTTCCTTAAACTCATTCTGAAATGTAACTGAAGTTATCGAGTGCAGTGCAAAAAAGTACATTTGCCTCTGAAATGTATTGAAGTTGAAGTATAGAGTAGAAATGAAGCACAGATACGTCAAAACTATACTTATGTACAGTACTTGGATAAATATACTTCGTTACATTCCACCACTGTTTTTTCCCTCTGGTTTGGCAGTCTTCCTCAGTCTGAGGCTTAGTCGTATAGGAGCAGAAGGAGTAGGCATATATTGTTAAAACAATACAATGAAATTATGGATGAGAATGTAAGCTAAATAACGTGGTTTTCCTCACTGATGTGCGGGCATGTACAGCTGTCTTGTCGGGTGTGAGCGGCACACGACTACTGTGAAAGGTGTCATCAACTCGTGTGCCACTGATTAACATCTGTGGGGGAAGCAGCAGACATCCGCCAGCCCAGCAGGAGCTCAGACAAATGACTGCGGGTGATTCACACCATTATTATGTAAGGCGAAACGAGACATGTCGGGTCTCAGGATCCCCCAGGCCAGTAGAAGAGGAAGGAAAAAAGGAGTGTGAAGCAAAGAAAGTCGGGAGAAATGGAAAGCATTTCTAATTACGTGCGTAAAATACTTTCGTTTATGCCAGGTTCTATAACCTGTCTTTGTTTGTGGATATAAACAAAAAAGTCAAAATAGAACTCAGGTCATTTGGTTGATTATTTAAAATGTGTTTCTTAATATACAAAGATATGTAAAGTCTACTGAAAATGGCAGCTACGACAGTAAAATTGCAATTATGCTCGTGAAATACTGACATTTAAACCAAATGGCGGCAGATATGTGTAAGATGTCACTTGTAGAGGCCAACGCGTGGGAACCCGACACCCACCTCTTCTTCACTTTGTTACGATGTATCGATTGTAACAGGTAACAGAGTGTGAACAGAGTTCCCTGCTTGCTTTTCCCGTGAGAGAGTTGGAGAAACCATTTCAACGTTTGCCTAAAGTAGCATGCAAAGATTTAGTCTGTAGAATATTTGATGCAAAAGCAAATCTCAAAGTTTTCACACCAAACTGATTAAACCTGTGCTGTAATCTTTTCGCAGATATTCTACCAACAAATCACATTTCCAAGCAGCATGTTTTATTTTTTTCAAATGATTTTCAAGGGACAACCGCGGCGCGCGTAAAATCTATCCTTTTACGCACGACTCTTCAAATGAATGTGTTCCTATGTTAAAAACAAAACCACTACCTGTGACAATTCTTCTGAATATGTTAGGTGTGTGTGAGGCTTGGGAACCCGAGAGACACCTCTCGCCCAAAACACTTTGCAAACGACGTATCGGTTTTAACAGGTAATAAAGTGAGCCCGAAGCTTCCCGCTGCACGTTCCCAGGATTAGGAAGAGCTGGAGGACGCTCTCCCACTGTTACACCTCGTGGACATTTGTCTGCACGTTGCTATCCTGGATTGCAAATGTGCAACCACTTATTATTGTTCAGCTTGGAAACGGGTGACCATTTGCTTCACGCCCCTCGCACATCCTCAGTTTATCTTCATGGGTCTTGCTTATTTAACCAGTTGGTTTTGTTTTGGTGGGACGTATACTCGGTTCCTTCACTAGAAGTACCAAAACCACAACGTGAAAGTACTCCCGTATATTTAAAACTCCTGCATTTGATATTTTGCTTAAGTAACTGTAAGTAACTGTTTTATTATTATTATTATTATTATTAGATTTTTGTTACTGGTGCCACAACGTGTGATCATAATTTGACTATTGTAGTTGGTTGATTAGGGGGCACAGTCAGGTGGCACAACAGAAATCTAAAGATTAAACTCAGTTTTAAGTTGTTGGACGTTTCTCTAAGGAATTAATAATGTGACCTCTTTGGACCTCAAAAAATAAAGCCATCTAAGTTTGAAGGGGAAATTTCTCTCTTTTAAGAGTATTTTGAGTCTTATAAGCGTATCATATGTTTTATGTAAAATCCTAATCTGTAAATTAACTTGTATATCTGTAAATGTAATGGCGTAAAAAGTACATAAAAAGTAAATAGTTACTCCTAAAGTATATAATAGCATATTTTGAATAAAATGCAGATCCCTGTAATTTTTATTTATGGTTCTTAGTGGCTCCTAATTCTTTCCAATCATTATTTGTCCATATATTAGAAGGAAAACAACAGATGACTTTAGTTCAGTAGAGACCAGCAGAAGAAGTTTGGACACACTTCCCCTTTGATTTGAATAACAAAGTGTTTGCAAACTGTTGACTGTGATCTCCTCAGTGTCAGCGAGGGGGGACACTGTTGTTTGACTATAAACTCTGAAATTCACGGAAGTCATTGATCTCCAGACACGCGCAGCAGCTCCGGCAGCACGCGAGCGCTTCACACTTTATTCAGACACGCGCCACCTGAGGAAAGCTTCACACCTGAGTGGGTTCAGTACAAAACACAATTTGCACCAGACTTCGAGTATGTGTCAGATATTTTAATTCATTCGAGGAATTCAGCGGAGGACATTTTTGATCTCGGGTAAGAGTAAAATTAAAAATTAAATATTGGCCCTGGCAGTTCATTGTTGCAGAGCACCTCAGCCATAATCATTTCTGGCACCGAGCGCCATTAGACAAATTGAAAACTTTTAAAAAATCACTGGGATGAGTCAGAAATTCAACATGGCGACCATAAATACACAACTTAATATCTTCACAGTGGTCTTCAGTGAAAAGCAAACCTGGGGTATAAAAGAGCAGTAATCTGTCTTCACAAGAAACCAGTTATTACAACCAGTTTTCTTCAGGCGAGTTACCAGCCGGCGTTTTAACAAGGGGGATATACAGTACACCAAAAGAAAAGTAGGGTAACGGGCACATTATACATTTGTCTTATTGAAGACAACGAAGGCAGAGATACAGTCCTAATGAACTCAACAAACGGACACGTGTGAAAGAAGTACAATGAGTGGCAAGCCTGCGTAATTTGCATTTGATTGGCCGGCGTGTGGGCACCTAGGTGCCCTTCACGAGGTACTAATTCTAACAGATAATAAAAGAGCAAATGGAGTTTCACTGTCATTTTCCCATGGGAACGAGCCAGAAATTAGTCTCGCATGGAATCGCTCATTGGCCAAAAGTCAAACGTTTATTTGTCAAAGTCAAGTATATTTTACTAAAAGTCTTTTTTTCTCTTACAAGCCAGAATGTCATCGAACAGGCCAATTGTACTCAGGCTATAGTGAATCCACCCTTACAGTCAGGATTTATGACTCTATTCTTTATTTCTCCTAACTCATTTGTTCCACAGTAGTGAAACGTGGATGCTGCGCACTCAGGTGGGTTCAAAGCGAATTATAGCTGATTTAATTAAACAATCCAATTATTACCTTTTGTCTAGGGAAAAATCAACAACCAGACAGCTATGTCCTTTGGGTGAAACGGAGCTTCAAAGGATTCCAGGAGGTGTTAAAACACGTTTTGTTTCCTGTGAAGCGCCACCGGACACGCGCAGAAAACAGCTGACCTGTGAACAGCTGGAGGCGATGTTGGTGAGAGAATGAATACTAATTATAATGAAAAACGTGGGCATGAGCTGGGACTTTATCCTGTTATGTACTGTAAAAAGTTGTTTTGAAGTGATGTATCTAACAGGGACAAAAACTAGAAAGTCCATACGTTTATTACTGTGTTTCTCAAGAGCTGCACAGCTGTGGACAGGTCAGACAACAGTAGGGCTACATGCTAAAACACAATATGTTTAAAATATTTTTAACAATTTTGTGGCAAACCTTTTGCACAAAGCTGGGGGAATCTATATAACAATCTTTTCCTCCCCTTGGTATGTCTGAGAAAGACAAGCTGTTCAAATGGAGTGAATTCTTCATTGTGTTTGAAGTGAGAACTGCTGCTGAATCCTTACAGCTCATGACAAGGCTTCACACCTGGAGGGTGGAGTTCTGCAGGAAGCTATGCTTCATACCACAGCCACAAACTAAAAAGAGCTGTCACAAGCAGCCAAAACAAAAGGCCTTCAGCTTGGTCTAATTGGAAAAGAACCATTCAACACCAAAGGTTTTCTTCTCAAGAAACGTTTTATTTTCATAAAAAAAAGAATACTGCTCACCATAGGGAGACATCCAGAATAAATTAGTGTGCAAAATAGACAAAATATATAATTAAAGAGAAGACAAAACATGTTGTACACAGAACCAGAGATGTTATTCCTGAAAGCTGACATCATGGCACATGGGTGGTTGTGATGTGGCTGCATGGGGCTTTCCCAGCTTCAAACGCTGATGTTCCAGACCTAGAAATGTGATGGATGGATACTTGCTCATTATCCACTTTTGAATCATGATTTTAGCAGTGTATGGAGACTGTTCAACTCCAGGACACTCACCTCTGAATACGGTCTTCAACACAGCAGCTGACCCAACAGGACAGCCTAGTTCAGGCACATGGTGCAGCTCACATCTGTCCCAGTCTGGGAGAGTCCCTGTGCCTGTCAGGAGAGTAGGTGTTTTCCCCACTGACTGAGCTCACTTAAAAGCATTAGGGTAGACAGTCATACATACAGCATACAGCACATGTAGAAATGAGATTTTTACATTATTTACAAGATTCTCAACCTGTTACGGGTTATGAGAGATCACTGCCCACAAGACCACAATACAAATATTCTTAAAAAAAGACAAAGCAATATAGGTAGCATGACTGAATATTAATCAGTTGTTAGAGTCTTTAAAATGTCAGTTTCTGAAGTGACTTCATGGCAATCAGTGCCAGGGTCTCCACAATGTCTGGCTGACCGGGTGGCTCTGGGACAGGCTCTGTTTGCTCGCTTCTCCCTCCACTCTGATTTCAAGCTGATTTTTCTGAGGCTGCTGGGGAACTCCAGGAAGCCCCTGTTGGGCTGGAAGTCGGTAGGGATGAACAAAACTGTTCACACCAAAGTCTCGCTTACACTTTTGCCTCAGCACCCAAATAATGGATTGTGAGTGTGGCAGAGAGCTGGAGGAGAAACGAGCTTGTGCTCTCTGTTGGACACCTGCAGAATCAAAGTGTAAGCTGGCAAAGTGAGCAGCAAAAGACGCATCTAGCACCGGTCCGAGCCACAGGCCTTTCCCTTCAGGCCCCAGGAAGTGAGTAGCTCTCTGCAGGCAGGCAGCAAAGCCCTCCTGGAAGGAATGTTTCTGGTCTCCACCCCCACTCCCCACTCGGGTTCTTGTGTTTTCTCCTTTGGCAGTGTTCTGGAGGAAGAGGACTGTCTGCTCCAGTATCTCAGCTTTCTCTACTCTGTGCTGAGTTCCACCCTGCAAGAAAGCTTCAGTATGATTTCATGAAGTCTGCAGGTGGCAGTATATAAAGACAGCTTATCAACTTTTATTTAAAACAAATTTGACTTTTCATTATGGTATCCTATTAGAAATCTGACCTTTTTATTATTGCAATGATACTTTTACTCCTTGAGTTAGTGTAGCATTTTCACAATATAGACAAGCGTATTCAATGTGGTTTTTTTTTCTTGTTTTTTTACCAATTGTTGTGGCTCCTGTAGCAGTAAGTCTGTCAGACGCTTCAGACTTTGGTTCATCCTCTCCCTTCGGCGCTTCTCCACCTGAGATTTAGTGAACTAGGGAGGAACAGAAAGAAAGAAAGAAATGTTATGACCAATATGCAAAATGCATATCACTGAGGCAGTTCACTTTCATTGACTTTGATTAAAGTAAAAAGTGCTTCTTCCAACACCAAGGTAGGTTCTTTCTGGGACATTTCTACAGGACATTTCAATGTATGTTGGACAAGAAGGCATTTATTCAGAATCAGAATCACATTTATTGGCCAAGTATGTTTAAGCACAACAAGGAATTTGTCTCCAGTACAGAAGCTCTCAGTGTGTTTACAGGTCAGAAAGAAAAATAGGAGAATATGTGCATTTAAAATAGGAAAGAGAATAGGAGAACAATTCATGACCTAAAACAATATATTATTGCTAAAGGAAGCAATCTCAATCTTAGTTACACTATATCTGAGTAGAACTAGCTGTTGTATAGTATATTATACCTTTCTGTCCTTTGTTGCATCTTCTGCTTCTTGTGACAGCCTCATAGTAACCGATTATCCACCCCAGTGAGTGTGTATCCAGGTTAGCAGTATGTTCTCGGTCCGTGACTGACCAGGTAATGACTCTTTTGTTACAAGCTGCTTCTTTTACCTCTTCCCGGACAGTACTCAGACTCCTCCTACTTTACCACCCAAGTTCAACAATCCGCCCCCACTCCTCACAGCCACCCATCCACCCACAGTTTAATGCATTAAATTGAATTAAATGGTCTTATCATGAGTTTATTGAACTGGCGCCGTGATCACAATTTTAGACAAATTATAAGACAGCGCGTAACAAGACCCGATAGTTACAGCCATACCTATTATGCACAAGCCGGCGCGTAAAACCCATGCGTAATAGGCTATACAAACATAGCATTTTATATTTTTGAACTATTTAGTTTTCCACTCGGTGCCAAGAGATACATGGGAATTTAGGTTATCTTTCTTGCACGATAAAGCAAACAAAAGTGGCGTTCAGCTATGTAAAAACTGTAACCTGTTTACAAATGTTAACACAGAGAGTAAAATGAGACAACTGTACTCTCCATGGTGACATTTCTGGTGCCAAATTGAGAAATTGTAGCATAGTTATTATGCCAGACGTGGCTCACCAACATCACTTTAGAAAATGTTCCTGGCTAATTCCTTTTTTCTCTGATAACACCAACTGTGCACACTTCGCACTGTCACACCTTCCGTGAAGTTAACAGATGGTAACAGTGGTTAACGTTTTGCATTCACACCTCGGTGCCACCACAGACCACGCGTGCCATTTGGCTAGCTGTCACGTGCTGGCGCGCCCTTTAGCACCGCAGTTGTTCGACATTTGCTTGTGAGAGTTATAATCCCTCAACCTCACAGGCCACATAACAACACCCAGCCATGAATAGCCATAGGGCCTGATATAGTATAGTAAGGTTTTTGCGATTTTAGTGCACACACCTTTTGGTACAGCCCTGATATAGAGAACCTCAAGCTTTTTCATTCTGACCCCTTGACTCACACACATCTGGACAGATAACCAGCTGGTTGTGAATACAGAGAGTCTTTATTGTAAAAGAGGTAGAGAGAATACAGGTGTTTCACTGTACAGAAAAAAAGACAGCACTGTTAATACACTCACTCAAACCATTAATATGGACTCAGTCACACCTCAGGTAAGCCCCTTAGAAAAACTAAACTAAACAGAGAAACACACAAAGTCTTTGGATTTTTCTCTATTGCCCTCTCATTCACTAAATGCATTCTCTCTTTCTGAGCTGTTAAAATGAAAATAGGTGTAGCACTAATAATAAAATGGCAATAATATTAATAATGATATAGTGTGCTAAAAACAATGATAATACAGTCCCACACCTCCTCTTCCCCAACCACACACCTCAGTAACATGTCAAAAGTAGTGGAAAACAAGCCCTACAACCCCGATAATAAAACCACACTTGCATGCACACACAACACGCGCACACACACACACACACATTTTCACTCTAGCATCCATGCACTCAGCTAATCATACAAACATAATAATGACCGATGCTGAGCGGTAAGAAAAGAAACCAACGTACATTTAAAATAATCAAACCAAACAAACAACATACAAAAACAACTGCAGCCAAGTGGGAAGTGTGATATCATTCCTTCTGTCTTTTCCGTTGTCAGTCTTTCTGCGGCTGTCGTTCTGTGCCAGCAGGCAGGGCCATCAGTCAGAGTTTTCTGAGTGTTCGCTGTGGGGCGAGGCTCTGGGCGGGGGCGAGTTTCGACCCTGCCAGTTCCCGTTAGCCTGAGAAATCAAAAGAAAAAGAAAAAAGAAGCAAACAGAAGGGTGTCAGAAGGTAACATCTTATTTCTGCATAATACTTTGTTCACTATTGCTGTGTCATTTATAAGCAAGTCATTCTAGCCCATTTTTTCAAGCACCAGCAACCAGTGACCACTCGTGTATGAAAATAAACTAAACAAAATGCAGTAAAACTAATATAGTTTGGAATTAGATTTGACAATAAACACCACATTTGATCTCAAAGCAATGATATATTTTAGGTAATGCAGTTGCAGCTAGTTTAGTGTTCGTGAGTATTCAAAGCACTGTATGTTCGTGAAGGAACATATCATCCAGTGTAACAGTGTGACTCACTCATGATCATTCTGGACAACAGTGGCACACAGCAACACAATACAAGCCTTTGGCTACAAACAAAACTGCTCACTGGGATCAATAAATTGCTGGTTTTGGGCTTTCAGCAAAAGGAAAAATACACAAAGTCACCAGCCTTATCATTTAAATGTGTGTATAAGTACTACATAAGTGGTATCATGTTACCTGCACTCCCATTTGGTAGGTAGACTGCTCGCCGTTCACAGGTGGAACCCCAAGGAACAAGTCAGCGGACCCGGACAGAGAGAAGGACCCAGATCCTACAGGAAGAGAGGAGACAGGAGAGTAAATTTAGCATGCACAAGAAAAAAAAAACTGTTTTACACAGAGACCATAATGGCCCTGGTTTTATATCAGTTTTCAGAAGGTTGTGGTGTAACCTAATGGATTTGCTGTACAGTTTAAGAGCTAAGGACAAAACATGAGGAAAAAAAAGTTAGAAAGTACAAGAGCAGGTAGATGAATATTTTAGTCACATGTACTTCAGTTGCTGTGAGTCAATTACCTCAGCCTCAGGATATACAGAGAGTTATCAAGGGCTCAGCAGGGTCAAATGAAGGCCAAGAAGGGTGGAACTAACAACTTATTTCACAGCCTCAAGGTGAGTAGTTGCATTTTGCTGGTTTCATTGTAGTACCTGTGGAGTTGGGAGTGTGTGGGGAGTCATCGCCCTGTCTGGCCCCCAAGGCTGTCTTCATGGCGTAGAGGTTGGCTTCCTCTTGGAACTTGCCAATGTTTTTCTTGTAGCGGATTCTCTTGTTGCCAAACCAGTTAGAGACCTGGTAGAAAGATAGACAAAACTCAGCATACACTGTTTTGTGGGAGCGTTGATCCGTAAAATGACCAAATTTTCACACTAAGATATAGATTCACATCCAAAAAAACCGCAATTACACACTCATAACTGCTTGTTCCTACAAGCACATTATGCTCAGAGATTTACCTGAGAGACAGTGATTCCACATTGTTTGGCAAGTTCCTCTTTGGCTTCTTCACTGGGGTAAGGGTTGGACAGGTGGGAATAGAAATACTCATTCAGGACCTCTGTGGCTTGTTTGCTGAAGTTACGCCTCTTGCGCCTGATGAGACGGCGAAAGTTGACAAATGTTGGAAAAAAGCAAAGGTTATTTTTTTGTCCCTTGGTAGCAGTGACATCTTTGTAAGCAAGACAGTTAGCATTTACACCTAAGCTGTGGTCAGGGTACCCATGTCCACTCTATACAGTCACATAGAAAAAAAAAAAGGGCTACATAATGACTGAGAACACAAACTCTACCTAGAAACATGGATAGAAAGGAGTATACTGACATGAAAAGCCTGAATTCTTTATAGTTTTAAACAAGGGAAATCTATTTAACAGTTACATAGATAATACTCATAACTGGTATTAGCAAATAATTATTCTCTCAATTTTCGATGAAACCTAAGCATTTGTCAAATTATAAAATAGATCTTGGTGTAAAATACTTTTTCACATATTTTACAATTGACAGTTTCATTCATATTTATCTTTTGTTGTGACTCACCAAGCTGACTAGAGCAAAGTGCAACCTTTTCAGAGTCACAGTGGAGTATTTACTATAAGGAACAAAACAAGCACCTCACACCCCCACCTGGCATCGAGAAAGCGGGACCTCAGGATCATGACTGCCTCACAAGTACTCTGCTTCAGCTGGGTCTGGATGGAGCTGAATTTGCGGTGGATGATGGCCACCATGCGCTCGATCTCCCGCGGGGTCACAGGCCGTGTACGCGACTGCTCCCTCAGCAGGTTCATCACATGAGTGGTGAATTCAGTGCATGCCTGGGTGTGGGGGGGGATTAATGTGTATCATTATTACTGTCTGTATTAATAGTGCAGCAAATTCAGCAGTCCACCTTAATAATATGAGGAAGCTTTTAATTCAATTTGATAGAGGAATTGATTGTATGTTGCTGATGAGTACTGTTAAAATAGTGGAACTGATTGGTGTTTTGAATAGTAGTACCCATTAGGGCTTTAGTATAGGATAAAATGTGTTGCTCTCCTAATCTAAAATAATGCCCTGAGAACCTAATAATACTGCTGCCTATACAGTAGAGATATAGAGCTTAAGACCTGGTGTGTTTGATCAGCAACAAAAGAAGAGCAGTGCAGTCCCAGGCAAAGAAAGATATGTGCTGCGTTTTCTAGACCCAACATGCCAATGGATTACACTTCCGGCTGGCTGTTTTAGTACAAGCAAGCGTGTATGGGCAATGTGAGCGCTTGTCTGCTGTTGCGACACAGTACCTGCTCATACTTCTCCAGCTCAGTGTGGTAGATACTGCGAATTTGGGTCAACTTGCTTTTGTAGTCGGAGTGCTCGAGCGAGCTGTCAGGTGACATCCCTCCTGAGTGGGGGGCGCCACCCCGGCCGCCGGCCCCCCCGCCCCCCTTCTCTGGCCCTGCCACGCCTTCCGCCAGCAGCATGTTGTCCAGTCGCACCAGCTGAGGATCCTGAGGCTCCTCCTCCTGTGCGTTTCTCATTGACAAGCCTGTCAATAAAAATGCCAATATCTAGTGGTTTTGTCAGGGAAACACTGCCAGATCAGACATTCATCCTGTGAATATTTCCACTCTCTCTTACTTTCATCAGTTGATGCTTGTTCAGCTGATGTTCTCAAACATGTATAGTAGCTTGTGGGTTCATTTTTGTTCAAACTTTCCCAGCAAAGTCAGCCAATAACACTTATGCACTGGGTTTGGATGTGGACAGCTCATTCCTCTATGTGTCTCCATGTTGCTTTGCGCACTGCTCTCATGCACTGTTTGCAAACACTCTGCTTAATATTTATTTACTGCCTATGTCAAAGCATCCTTATTCAGGCCAATTTTGTTGAACAGAAAATGACTGTGACTGAACTTTATGCAGTTTTTAAATGTATGGCTTGATATAGACAACAAAAGAAAAGCTAATATCTTTCAGTATTACTGAAATGATTACACTATTACTCATTACCCTCTTATTTTTCTGTAACACAAACTGTTACATGGGGTATAAATAATATATAATATATATATATAAATAAATGTTTCCTCATATAGTAGAGCAGTTATCAAACCAACCTGTACTGTATTGCTGTAGACATTGTATGTCTGTCTGTCTGTCGTTGTCTATTATAAAACCCAATAGCATTTTACATAATAACAATATGCATATCTTCCTGTAGGTTTTTGTTTTAGCGTTTAAACTTAGTATATATATATATATGTGTGTGTGTGTGTGTGTGTATACTTGGCCATTACATGTGTTTATGATTAGCTTCTGATGACACAGTGTCAGCACACTCTAATAACACTGCAACAAGCCAAACGAACACTGCACATCAGAACAAAATTAAACGCATATTGACAACCTCAAAACTTGTAAAATAACGTACCCGTTTTTTCCTTGATCTCGCATAAAACGCTGAACAATGCAGGTTTCATTCGGTGACAGTTAAGTGCATGTTTCCTGTACATAGAGAAAAGAGCATGACTGTAACGACCGTAACAGGCAAACCGCAGGGACAGTGACAACATACAAATCGACCAAAACAAAAACACAATTTAAGAGACGGACCTTTGCCATGGATAATTTAGCAACGCTAGCTTCTAGCTAGTTGTGTGCTAAGAAGGCAACTGTTCACTGGTAAGATTGCACACGGAAGCCAACACATTTTCTAATTTTTTATTTGTTTAGGATATAAATAAACCCTAACATCTGCAGGAAAATGCTGTTTAATGGTTGTAGTAGTGCCACCTCACAGCTACCAATTGTAGCTTTAGCTAGCTAGTTAGCCCTGGTTAACGCAGCTTAGCAAGCTAACAATGGCTACGTTTTAGACCATCGCTGCCGAAAGGAATGCGTGTTTGTAAATGACAGCAAAGAATCAGTCAGCAATGGCTAATGTAAGAGCACATGAAGTCTGAGCAGGTTATAGCAAAACAACTTTGTTTTCGTTACCTAATTAGTTAGCTCCTGGCCAATTAATCTAAACAGTGGATTGAAGTTCAGGAAACTTTGCCACAGCAAGTCGAAGTGTACGAAGCTGTAAAACAAAAGCGGCCGCGGCGTCAGTAACCACACACACAAAATCAAAGTTGTCACTAACTTTGCTTGTGCCTCGTCCAAACTTTGGTCGGTTATGGTCATTATTTGCTGCAGTATGTCACCAATATCTCTGCGTGTTTCATGTCCGTTCTCTGTGCCCTCGAGGCCCGAATCCCCTCCGTCCGACCGGTGCTGGGAAGGTTGATGAGCCGAATTAAGCGCATGCATCCCGGTGTGGCTATTCATGCCGAGTCCCCGGCCGTTGGAGGGCCCATTGCCCGTCAGAGGCTGCTGCTGCAACATCTTCCGCGACGCACAGTGGCGACGACTGCTGCCCAACTGTGCTCATAGACACACAACAACACAACTTGGCCTGTGGCATCGCACAAAGCGCAGTCCCCTAGCGATTGACAGGAAAAGGTACAAGCCATGTAAACACCACAGCATGTGATAGACCGTGCTTTTGTGTGTCAGCAGAGGCGTAACACTACTGGGTTAAATGTAACCACAACAACAGCAAAACATCTGCAGGGCCTGAATTTTAAGAAGGCAGAGGTGTGTGCGTGTGTGTTTGTGTGTCCGGGAATAACAAAGAAAGATGCTGTAACCAAAGATTGTGTGCTCTATTGCCATTCTGCTTGTGCTAGTTGCCTGGTTACAAACACAGGCATTTAAATTAAAGAAGTGACTTGTTAACCTTTTGGTTTAAGGTGTTTAAATTTACTTAGGCAGCTCCTCTCACTTCTGAGCCTACTTCTCGTTTTAGCTGCAAGTCAACAGGATGTGTGCGAAAACCACAGCAGTGTCAGAACTGTGCATCTCTTTCACCATGTTGGAGTTGGGTCTGACATTGTCACATAAGAAGCAACTACACCAGAAGATGCCTATGAAAACTATTACGGCTTTGACTTTATCTTGAATTATATATTTTAATAACTTTGCTTGGGACCATACTTGAAATGTATGATGGAGGTTTCTTCTGTTTCTTACAGTATTATTTCACAACAGTATGACTTGTCATATGTGGGCTAGACAAATAGGGGTGGCCTGTGGTAAGAGGAACAGGAAGAGAAGAGTCAAAAGAGAGAAGGCACACAGTAAGGCGAGAGCTTGTCACGTTGGCATGTGAAACTCTTAATAGCAGGCTTTTTTTTTTTTCTTCTTCGTAAAGATACTGACAAATGATAAGCCAAAAATGCTGTGCTCAGTCTGTAGTGACTTGAAGAGATGATACCTTGAAGAGAACATTTTTGAAACGTAAGGTAAAGGTAAGAATGACGTTACTGAATTTACATTTACTGTATAGTACACAAGGTAACTCTCCTCTGATAATATTGCCACACCAGTTTGTTGTTGTACAGCTAACAGGAATTTATGATTTACAGTTGGATTTTCAGCTTAAACATTTGCAGTCAAACATGCTCAGACCTGCCACACTGGTTTCTGTCTTTCTCTCATACTGAGAAAAAGGCACAGCTGCTCTGCGGCTGACTGCTTGTGTACTTCAAATCACTTTAGGCTCGATACTTGCGAAGTTTGCTTAGTATTTAAATTTTTCTCAGAAGAATTAAAGAGTGTGGTCCTCTCAGACTTTGACCTAAAATTTTTGATATAATATCTGTTTCTGTGTATGCTTTTGTCAGGATTTGACAGCGAGATTAAGGAACTGCACAGAGCTCAAAGTTGAAATGGCTGAAGGGGGACTGCTAGAACCTCTTGTCATCACAGAAAACGAAGACATAACTGATGGCGTCACTGAAAGCGAGGTAGCGAGCAGTTTCGTTGTCATTGTGCAGAGCTGTAGTGGAGAGTCGGCTCTGAAAAAAGAAGAGGAGCACATGGAAGACGACAAGAATAAAGAACATGTAGAGAGTGACATGTGTTTAAAAGAGCAGAACCCAGAAAAACAACAAACCACCACAGAGGGAAGCCAGACAGGAGACACTGTTGTGGATGAACAGGACAAACCAGAGGAAACTGAAAACACAAATGATGGACAGAACAGAGGTGATAATGAGAGTATAGGTCAGACAGAGGGAGCGATGAGGATCAGTGAAAAACCTGAGAATACCAGTGAGACAGAGGTCATACAAAATGACCCTCAAGTGGATATAAAGAGGTCGAATTCCTCTGAGGAACAACCCGAAGCAACAAAATGCCAAGAAGAGGATTCAAAAAAGGTACGTTTTATTTTAGCCTTGCCTGGTACTCTGAGATTACATCTGTTGGGAACTCAATTAGCAGGTCATACAGCATACACAGGGTTTGTTTGAAATATTTCTGACTTTACCAAACAGTTACCTTGTACCCGAACAGAAAAACAATTTTATGGTGGAAAAACAGCCGACAACCTTTTGCTACTAAGCATGTGGGAGTATGGAGGCGTTGAGTGAATTATGTTGCTTTGCCAAAAAACAGTTTGTGCCACTCACTGAGAAACCTTTCTCCCCTCCCTCTTTCTTTTTCTCTTTTTCTGTTGCTTTTTCACCTACCCACGTTTCCTCATGCTCACCAGTTAACCCCTGACTTTCCGGAGGCATTGTATGAGCTGCTCTGCACCCTTCAGGAGGGGAGACGGCTCAATGACCAACGCTGCTCCTTCAGACTTGAGAGTGAGGTCAGGAGGCGGAGGTGCCACTCTGAGCCAAACGCCACTAGGCCAGCCAACAGAGGTGGGGGTGCTTTGAGAAGTTATAGTTTGTTTTACACAGGTAAAGTGATGAAACCAATGCAACTGTTGTATTTGCTTCCATGTAGTGATGCTGACTCATGTTGTTCAAGGTAAAACAACACGAAACTAACAGTTCTCTATGACTAAAGAATGTTTTGAAACTCATGTGACTAGCATGTTTCATCGTCTTGCCTTGACCCCTGACCGTTTTCTCCACTGCTCCTTTCTCTCATTTCTCCACAGTCATCTTTTCTTCAATGACTTCACTGCAGAAAGAGGAGTTTTTTGAGCTGGTGGCCACCGCTCAAGCACGCCGGCTGGACGACCAGAGGGCGCATCTCCAAAGTTCTTCACCGGTAAAGCCAAAGGCCAGAAGTTTCAGAGGCAGCATAAAACAACTCTCTTTGGTGAGAAAGCCTGCACCTGTTCCTGTGCCCAAAGAAGACCTGTATAATATGATTCTGACAACACAGGTAAGTAATCAGGACTAGTTTGTTTAGATTCTTTTTCATGGTAAAAAAACATCCTTAGCTTTGTTTCTTAGAAATATTTCATATTCTTACATTGTCACGGCAGAAAATATCTTGCAAAACCTCAGTGCCATGTCAACTTCAGAGAATTATAATTCAGGCATTCACTTTAATCCACACACAGGCACAGGGCAGGCTGGAGGACCAGCGTAGCAGGGCTCCTGGTCCCATGGATGATGAGGACTTCTTCTCCTTGCTCCTGAGGGTCCAGGGAGGACGCATGGACGAGCAGAGGACTGAACTACCTTGTATGCTGCAAACCTGAGCTGGAAAACAAAAAGCTGTGGGGCTTTGTGTGAGATGTTCCAGTATTTTAGCCTTTTCAGTCAGATTTCTTGCTGACTTTAGTGATGCTTTGTTTTATGAAATGGTTATCCCTCCTTATAGCGTTGGTCAGTGTTAAACTGGTATGATTGTAGCAAAAACGCTAATGTTTGACCAAGAGAGCTTCTGAGATAACTTGAGTGATGTGATTGTTAAGTTTACTTCTAGTTTGTTTCTTTCTTTCCTGTTAAGTAGGATCAGTAGACATGCTTTCATACTGGAGAAGTTCACATCTTACTGAATGTCTGCAATGAGTAGTTGAATGGTTTTGTGTATGTTGTGGAGGAGGTAGTCTACTGATCTGTGTTGTTCTCCTTATTTGTACAGTAGATATTAAACACACCAGGGACAGTGACAAGGAGATAATAGGCCACACAGTGCTTCACTGTATATGGATAATTCTCCTCTGAAAAATAAATGTGCATCTGAGCCATTTGCAGTTTGTCCAGAAATTTTCCAGGAGAAAAATACATTTAAAATGTGCTCTGATGTGGATATCTTTCAAGTGTGTTTCCTTTCCTTTTCATTTTATTTTTCCCATCAAACATAAACTATGTTGATACAAACAAGGAATCATATGTGAAACCTGTTCTTTTATTTTCATCATTAATCATTATTCACTTCCTATTCACATTCCCACAAATTTGTGTCTAACTTTTTCTAGAACATCCTGCTGCATATAAATCAGACATGCACACACAAGGAGATGAGCTTACACCTATTTAGGGAACAAGTAAGTAAGTAAGTAAATTTTATTTATATAGCACCTTTCACAGACAAGGTCACAAAGTGCTTTACAAACAAATGAGACAAAGACCAAGATGTTAAGTTTTCAGAGAATGAAGAGAGTGAAAGCAGGTGTTATCTCAGAGTTCTTGAGTATTGGTTTATACAGTCCTTTCTAGTCAACCCAAAGACAAACAGTACTTGTACAAAAATACTATAGACATGCATTATTATTAACATATTTAAAGCCTGCTTTAATGTGATGAGTGAGTAATTTATCCATCTGAAAATGACTGTCAACCTTATTTAAAGTTTACTCACAATTCTGTGCATTTTCTGAACATTAATATCAATAAGCGGGCATAATGAGACCAGTGTTGTCATGGCATTAACTGTGAATTTCAGTGTTGATACCTCTGTTTTATATCAGAATCAGAATCGGCTTTACTGGCCAGTTGTGTCGGATACACGAGGAATTTGACTTTGGTACATCGGCTCTCAATGTGCATGTACATATCCCCATGCAAGGGGCAAATAAACAGTAAACCAACATAAGGCTGTGTAATATTAAAAAAAAAGGTATTAACAAGCAACAAACAGTGCAAACAATGCAAAATAAGCAGTAAAAACAGGCAGTAAACAATGCAGACAGACAAGAAATGCTCATTGTGAAATGGGATATAGTATTTGCTGTTAAATAGAACAAGAGTGTTTCTCATTAAATAAAACCCATGATTCAGCAACTGTACTTGCATAAAAGTTGCACGCAATAATCCGGGGCCATGCTGTGTCATTAGCCAGAAGAGGCCTCATGGAGAACTGTGACCTCCACTGGTGTGTGTTTAGTCCATTCAGCACAGAGGGAAGCTCTCTGAGGAAGTCCTGGTTGGTCTGCAAAAGGGAGGTTATAGGTGTCAAGAGGACACTGTGTCACTTCCTCAGTCAGAGGAGTATTATGTGAGATGTGATCTCAGCACTCTGACCAACACTGGTTAATCCACCTGTTATGTTCATTTCTCAGAAACAGCAGTGATGTTCCTGGGTTAATTTTACCATTACTAACCATTTCAGTCACTATTTAGTGCAATTGTGTTCTTTACCTCTCACAGATTATGGTTCAATGAGGATAATGCACTCGTTTATCATAAAAAATGCATGTTAAAACTTTTTGTAATGTACAATGGAAAGACCTACATATAAAATACATTATTTTTACATTTCACATTGATTTTTTTTTATTTTATGTTATATTTTGAAATATTTTCTTTTTATGAAGTGATGTTGATAAATTAACACGAGACACCTCTTCTGTTCAGGGTCAAATTGACCTGATCAGTATCTTTGTAATATAAACATGCAGGGGGAGGTTGCAAATATGTGAAATGAACCATTTTCATTTTATATGTTGATTACATCTATTAAGCCAAGCAGAATAAGTTTCATACCAATAAAATACGTTTAACTGTTGTTTTTAGATGTTTAAACTTTACAACATAACACGATGGTTAGAAGGAGAAGGTGTAAGTCAGCTAACAGAGCAAGCAAACATTGTCTCTAAATTTATTGTATTATGTTGGATTGAGTTTTAAATTTGAGCATTATTATCAAATGCCATGGTACAGTGTATCTTCCGGTTCTTGATGACAGGATCAGTTTTTTTTTCATATGATCTATTCTTCACTGCTCCAAATGACAAAGTGTTATAAAGGCAGCTAAGCATTTCAAACATAGAAGAGGAACAGAGAAGAACATGTTACAAAAAAAGAAGTTGCACCTTATACCAAAATTGTGAAAGAGTCAAACAGGAAAAAACAACAGCAGGAAAACCCATAAGGTGCAAGTTCCACTTTTAACATGGCAGTGTGAGAGGTATGGAGGATAAAACACTGCATCAGTTTGCTGGTGTGGCATGTGAAATGGCCAATTGCCAAAACCAACCATTTAAAAAAAACTACTCTGTTTCTGTGTATAGAATTGTAGAAGCTTTTATACATCAATGGGGAAAACACTGAATATGGCTCATTTTCGGAGTTTGGTGAAAAGAATCACATTTATCAAATATCTTTCAATATTTGACATGAACACAACTCAGATATCCTTCCATTATAGTTCAGATCTTATCAATGTAGGTTCAATAATTATAATAATGTAGCTGTTGCATTTATAAGGGAGCTACAGTACAATTTTAAAAGGTAAAACTTTTTAAAAAGGGTAACATATAGTCTAGCTGATTCATCGTTTTTAAGCAATTCCAATCATTGACTTGTTAAAAATTCCCATATATAATGATTTGATGATTTTCCTACTGTAAATGAAACATTTTAGCTTTTATTTTAGATTTGGACTGTTACTTAAATAAAACCATCAATTGTGAGACAATGTCCTTGTGCACAGACATGCGAGAGACTGCTACTTCTCCTCAATAACACGCACATACTGAGAAACCACATTATCTGTAGTCAGCTAGTGTTTCATTTTGCTTGTTTTGCTTGTTTTTAGCAACTTTGCATTAATTTTTGCTTGTTTTGCATCTGTTGCACTTATTAAAACATGTTTTGTTTCAGCTCTTTCCATTTTTTGCAGTTTTGTGTTTATTTTTCTAGTTGTTTTGCTGTTTTCCTTTTTTAGGGGCTGCATCATTTCTCTCGTTTTAGCCATTTTAAATCTCTTTGTAGTGGTTTTGAGTCCATTTATTCTCGTTTAGTGGTTTCTTTTAGTTGTTTTGAAGTAATTTGTTTGACTTCCCAGTGCAGTCCCTTCAGGGTTCTCTGGTCTAACGGCCCCCTGACACCTTGGTCCCCTGGTTCAGTAATCTAATCTATGAATAAAACAAGCAATTTAAAAATAGTGTTTTGGGTAACCTTTTCATTATTTTCTGACATTTTATCATATAACGATTAATCAGTCAATCGAGAAAGTAATCGGCAGATTAACAGATAAAGAAAATAATTATTAGTTATTCGATAAACGCCTATTTCAAGATTTTAAAAACTTTTTCGTAGCCCCGCCCACAGGGTGACCTCACCGACTTTCTTACCCTAAGAAAATCAAGGACATTTGAGTAGGATAAGACAAGGGCGAAGAATATACAGAGCCCTTAATGCTGACTTCATTAAATATTTAGTACATTGTATTCTTTTATAGCAAAAGCCGCTTGGGTGTGTTTAAATCCTGTTATTTCCACCTGAGACGTTGCTAGTTAGTTCCTAGTTATCGTTTAGCGGTTACATGACGCCACCGTCCTCTCCACATCGTCTTGTCCCAGACTAAAACAAGGATGTAGCTGAAGTTGAAAGTTGTTCGGGAGTGGACACTGCAGGTCACAGTCGTACTCAGAAATACATACGGTTCTGTCGAGGACAGACACACTGACTCAGAGGTGGGTATAAGTGTTTTAGTGACTTTTATATTAGTGACTTTTCCATCGTGCTTTTAACAGTTAACAAGCTCAGCGGAGATAAAGAGTGGGTGCAGTACCGTCTACTGCTCTGATTTATTCTGTCACTTGGTGCAAACATAGGCTATGTTTGAGTCAGTTTTCATTTGTTATTGATTGTGTTCATTTTAATATGGCGGTTTTAGTCATTTTGAGCGGTGGAAGGTAAGTAGGCCTACATTTAAGCCTACTTAAGACGCCTATTATAATGCTAGCCTATATTGACGTATATGAGCTACATTGAATGTAAATTATGCTTCTCAACATTTCAAATTGTACTTCTTACTTAATTTAGTTTAGTTGTCAGCTGTACTTTGCAGTTTTGAGAATTTTCATACAAAACAATGTAGTCTGTTTCTAAAATATAAAACATGTTCAGGGCACTGTCTCCTTCTTGTCACGGATCTTCCAATCGTCCAGTCTGTTTTAAATGCAGCGTCAGGTATTTTATAAAACAGCTTTTTTTTTTTATAATTCATATACAGTATTTATAATAATATGCCCGTCTTTGTTCTTAGATGCTTCTGTTTCTTTCCATGATGATCTTTTTTATACCACTAGAGGGCGACACCTCACCAATCACCTGCTACAATGACCAAGGAGATGCTGTTGACTGGTAATTCACTGAAAACAGTCGTGAACAAAACAAGCATTTACAAATACACGTTTTGTTATGGTTTAACGCAGCAAGATCGCATAAGTCCTATAACGCTGAAACAATCATTTCAAAATCAGCTTGTATTTCCGGCCTAAGCAATGTAAGAAGTTTGTACATTTACACACACCTCACAAATGTTTCCTCCTTTCTGTTTTTGTCTGAATTAGGTTCTATCTGTACAAGCTGCCTAAAGAACATAGCAGCAGATCTCCCAGAGCAGAAGGTGAGATGTATTTACTGTTGGAAAAGGGGAGCGAAGGATGGACTGATGGGAAGGTGACAGTGAACGACACCACTGGAGCCCTGGGAAGGACAGTTGGACAACTGTACTCACAAGAAAAGGTCTGTTTTCATTAGGTGTCTCTGTCTGTAACAAATCCAGCAAAGTCACTGTTGTGTTAGTGATAGTTGAAGTTCATTTTCCAGGAAATCACCCATTTGGAAACCGGGAAGTGCTGATGCTAGCTCAGATTATTACATAGCTGTCAGTTCCTTATTATTTATGTATTAAATATGTTCATGGTTCATGTGAAATGGTCATGCTAAAGCCCACATCTTTTATAAGACATCCAGAGCTTTATTCTTTATTTGACATTTCTGTAAAATAGTATTGGTAGGCCTTTTGTAATATTCACTTTCTTTTCCCTAATTGTTTTAGAATTATTAATTGTTTATTTACTTGAATCATCATTAGCTTCAGCCACAAGGCAGTTGCAGCTATTTCATGGGGTTTTCATAGTTTTAAAGTATTAACATACACACACACACATTTTTTTTTTTTTTTTGCATACACTTTCTTTTATATCCACAATGTAACAAAACTAGACTTTGCTTAAGCAAAATCAGTCGTAAATACTTTCAGAGTTCTTTCAGACACCAACTTAAGTAGCATGTCTGTAGCAGATGGAATTTATTTAAGGAAGGGTTTCTGTTAACTCCACTTGTCATTATTAGATAAGAGGAAGAAACTGAGAATGAAAACTGAAAATTGAGTTGTTCATTTAAATGCTGTCTGTTTGTCTGGCTGTGAGTCCTAATACACCAGGTTCAACAGCAAGATTATACAAACCAGGCTTATGAGAATTTATAACTGGCATTTTCAGTGCTCTGCTGTTTTATTCATGTATTTATTTATGCTTATTTGTATAGGGATAAGTGTATAGCATGAACCAATACCACATACTATAATATTTACAGTCTAAGCTAGTCTGTAATGCATACTCCTTGATGGTCCTTTGAAGCACTTAAAACTCAACAATAAAATACCAAGACACAAAACTCAACATTATATACATACATTAAAGCACCAACCTCAACAGGAAAATGCAGACAAAACAACTCAAGGCATAAAACAAGCACACAAAACATACAATTTACTAATGATGAAACAGTAAAATGCCATAAAACTATACAACTCAGGTATCCTGCCACTGTAGATCAGATCTATAGTAGGTCGGTAATGACCACTCGAATGATTGCTTTTTTTATTTTGTTTTTCAGTTTAAATGTAATTCTGCCAGTGTTTTTCTTCCCAGAATGTGTCCAAATATGGTGGTTTTTAATTTCAGTTAATAAAGTCTGTCCTCTTTACAGAACACTGAGGTAGCATACATCCTTTACAATGACCAGAGGCCACCTGAGGACTTTGGCGACAGATGGATTGACAACAGTGGACATGGTGGGGGGCACACAAAAGGTGAACACCAGAGCAGCCTAGCTCTAAAATACTCCTGTAGCCCAGACAGACTAGCACCGTGTATGTACAGTGTATAAATTATATCAAAGCAAAAAAAAAAGATCACAATATGATATACAATAAAGGATTTCTTAAACCAATCTTCACTGTGCACCCTATAACATTCAGTTGGCAGTTTATAAGGTACACTCAGCTAAAACTAATGCAGTCTAATACAACAATCCTGCAATAAATTCTAACTATGAGGGTTATAGTGTTGCCATAATGTCAACATATAATGTTTTTGTTGAAGCCGTTTTAGAGATTTGCTGATTCAGCTCTGGTAATTTTAAGAATTCAAATGTATAAAGTGAGAGAAAAGCAAACTGACTCGAGAGGAATATGCATGTTTAAGAAAAAAACAGTCTGGGAGTGATTTTAAAAAAAACTTTATAGTTCTGTTAAAGGGCTGGAACAGTTGTAGAGAGTAACTGAAGTATAGAACATTTAAAAACACCACAAATATGGAAAAAAAATCTATCCTTGTCCATGGGTGGGATGTGGCAGAAATCAGTTCGATCGAGGCACTCAAAGTGGATGGTAAATAATAAAATGCCTAACACATTAAAAAACACATCATTGCGTATTGACACACAATGAACTCAGACCACTAATTAATGATGGAGACATTCAAAGCATTAACCGCTAGGGGCATGTTCCCACATTAGAAATTCCAAACACACAAAAACCAGTGCTGTATGTCTTATAAAATATGTATATATGTAAATATGTATTTGCTGGTAAATATAATGTCTCTGTGCGTCAGGTGTCATACTGCTGGATAAAGTTCAGGGCTTCTGGTTGGTCCACAGCACTCCTCATTTCCCCCCTGTACGACAAGAAGGAGAGTATTATTACCCCACTAGCGGCGTGACCAACGGACAAAACTTCATCTGTGTTACCTACCCTCTGGACCGCTTCCAGACCATCGGTAAGACTGGAGTCCTGCAGTATGGCCCTTTAGACGCAAAGAGAGTTGGTAGAAAAACTGAGTTAATGCTTTATGGCGATGTTTAATTAGCTAGTGTTATCAGAGTATGTGAGTTGAAAGGAGGAGGAGCAGGCAGCTCATGGAGGTTCATACTCTGTCTCCAGAACATTATATTGTTCTGATAAATCTATTTGATAATATATCAGGGTTTCTTTTTTTATTTAATCTTTTTTATCACCATATCAGTCAACCGTGTAATCCCCTGCCAACTTATAGTGAAGGCTCTTTAGTAAAGAATGAGTTTATAAAACATGTAATGACAGTTTCCCAGCCACTGATTGTTTTTGTTTTACTCTGCCTTTAACACACTTCAGTTTCCCATGAGGGTTTAAATCTTGTATTTGTCATAAAAATTTACTCAGCACATATTTTCTATCTTCAGAACCTCTGAAAGTGTCACTCGTATCTTCCTTTGTCAAACCTTAACAGAGAAGCTTGTGGCCTGTGTGGGTGTTAAATTCTTGAATCATTGTTACTTTGTCATCACCCAGCACTGATTAATCCAGTCAGGTATTGACACAATAACAAAAATCCCGATCCAAGATAACCAGCATAAACTAGTGTCATCAGTGTGTCAGCGCGCTGCCTCTGCAGTTCTCTGGCAGACCTGACAGCTGGCACAGTTTCTACGACAGTGCCTGGGGTAATGTAATTAGACTGAGGTATGTAACCATAGAGATATTGGACCTCACACTGTGGCAGGCATTTGCTCCATCAGATTGTCACCTCTCCAGCTGGGATGTTGGGAGCGTGACACTGTCCGGGGTGATGTGAACACACAGTGCATAAATGTTTTGTCCAACAGCCATGTCGAGTTTCATTTTAAATCACCTTGCAGTATGAATTTGCACATTAACGAGACAAAACTGAGATTTACCACTGTGTAAGTTTATTATACACTGAGTTCATAAATATAGATGGGTGACAAATAACAGGATAACCCAAGACAAAGTGTCTCAATAAGGTCTTGGGCCACCACGTGCCACCAGAACAGCTTCACTGCACCTTGGCGTTTATTCCCCAAGTCTCTGAACTCTGCTAGAGAGATGAACACCATTCTTCCCTCATTTGGTGTTTTGATGATAGTGGTGGAAATGCCATCTAACACGTCGCTCCAACATCTGTCATAAATGGTCAACTGGGCTGAGATCTGAGACGTCCTATATGTTGCTCTAGTTTATGTCTCATGGAGTTGCTGAAGATGACTAGTAATCAGTGGTTTGAAATGAGCTTGTATTGTGCATTTTTCCTTATTCCTTAGTTTAAAATCCTGCTATAATTGTATTATTCAGATCTGCATTAGTGCACGTACATACAGTATGTGTTGACATTTTACTCATAACCAGGTGAGGAAATATAAAATCAGGGGATTATCAGTCATTATCATTACAGTCATTAGGTTCCAGCTTCTCAGTTGTGATGCTTTGCTGCCTTTCTTTTTTTATTTCATTTTATATTAAATATATTTGGGGTTTGGACTATAGGCCGAACAAATCAAGCTAATTGATTACCTCACTTTGGGCCCTGAGAAATTGTCATGGGCACTTTTCACTAATTACTGATATTATACTGTATAAACCAAATAACAAATCAGTTCATCAGTTAAAAAAAAAGTATAAAAATGATTATCTAAATAATCATCTGTTATGCGTATAGTATTGCACTGTAGGGCCTCACAACAAGAAATTGTATGAATTGGTTTATTCAAGGACCAACTTGTATATTGTTACACACTTTTGTGTTGTTCACTAGCATTTGTGGGAAGATGTTGTGGTTCATTAACTGACCAGATGTAGAAAAAGTAACAGTTATAAGTAGACTGGAGTTATTGTATAACATAAGTAAAAAATGTCAGGTTATGGTATCAGAAGGAACAAAGATAATATTTTTCTACACTCAGCACGAGAGAATTCTGAGAAGTGCAGGAATTTACCGCCTGAAGTAAAAAGATAAGTATGTAAAGTGAAGCTAAAAGAAATGAAGGGACACTACACCACACTGTTAGTCATTCATCATTCACTAATTGGAGTAGTGTTAGCAGCTTTTTCCTTAAATCTAATTTGCTGTGCACCACAGGAGAGCAGCTGCAGATCAATCAGCCTAATGTGTACGACTGTGATGTCCCCGACTCCTTGGTGTCCCTGGTGCCCGCACTGGCTGATGTCTGTAAGAAGAAACATCTGTCTGGTCACATCTTTCCCCGTATCAAAACTGTATCCAATCGCAGTGTGACTCTGACCTCAAAGGAGGGAACCAACTTCATCAGCTTTGCCAAAGGAGCCTCTTTTGACAATGGTATGACTTTGGAGAAATAAAAATACTTGCAGTTGTCTGACTACTGGTGCCATTCTTTCACTTTTACTTATGTCTTTGCAGGTATAATAGTCCAATGTGAGCATCACTAGTTCTATTTTGTAACATACAAATACACTTTTAGCTTTATTTACTTTTAAAGATCGTATTATTTAACAGCATGCAGACAGTTCAAAGGCAATAAAATGATAACATGTTCTTACCTGTCTTTCCTCTCTGCTTTGTCAGACCTATACCACTCCTGGGTGGCTCCCACCCTCCAGTCAGACCTCCTGGTCCAATTCTGGATTCGCTCCACAGGTATCCTCCACTCCAACTGCTCCGAGGGCTGGAAGGTCCTGGACATCACACTCATTCACCCAGGTGAGGCGTTCACCTTCAAGGCCAGCCAGGACCACTCCAAGTGGGCGGTGAGCCCCCAGTCACTTGGGCAGGGGAATGGAGGAGGATGGGTGTGCGTGGGGGACATAAACCGAAACGAGGCAGAGGAGAAGCGCGGGGGAGGCACAGTATGTCTGCAGGACCCGGTGGTGTGGAAGGCTTACCGGACTGCGGCACTGGAGTGTGAGTCTTGTGAAGAAGAAAAAATCATCCAGTGCTGATGTTCAGTTTGAGCCACAAGGGGTCAGCTGGGCTTGAGGCAAGGCCATCTCATGGATTTGTAAGTGAGTTATTTCAAGATGTGGTAGAATAACCCAGTGTTTACCATTTTAATTCATATGATATGCTCTTCACTGATGACACAATCATTTCCTTAAACATATAGAGGGATGAAATCATTCCATCACGTCTGGACTACCCTTTGTCCTACTAGCCTCTGTAAGGCAATGGTATTTCATTTAGCATCTTTTATTAGTTCTTTTCTGTGGTGTTCATTTTAGAAAACAAAAAAACCTCAAAGTGCAACTTTAAATTGAAAGCATAGGTCCAAGTCACTTGAGGACTCTGTCTGTTACAAACTGAGCGCTGTGTCACTAATTCTGACTCTGTCACTTGAGGACTCTGTCTGTTACAAAAGCGCTGTGTCACTAATTCTGACTCTAACTTTTCTGTTTAAATCACCATGAGCTGCTTTTTGTGTATGTTCTCAGTGAGGACATCAAATGTTGTTAATTAAAACTGTATAAAAGTGGATTTTATGGGATTTTAAAATAATCAATGTGGGATATATTGCACTTTGAAACATTCAGCACATGCACACATTTACCTGATGATATTAACACATGGACACTGACAACATTCAGGTGAGGAATGTTTTAATTCTTTGTTTTCCATGAATGTTTGTGATAATAACTGGGTACTCAAGTATGTGCTTTTCTAAAAATATCTAGAAATATTTTTTATGTGCCTTTGATTTCTTAGTTACATAAATTCATTCTGATTTTGCCTAAGCATAAAGATGCTGACCGTCTTCACTCTAAATCAACAGACCAGTGCACAGGTGTGTGGTTTGTCGCTGAAGTATATTCACCTTGCTTTGTTTACCTTATCCATGAGGAAAAATAGAAATGTCAGTATTTGATATGTAGAGACAACTTTAATTCTTTTTATGTCATACTCAGCAGCATGGAAAATATGTCTCTTTTGAACCTGGAACACATTATAGCAAATCAACCCAAAGCTGGGAAATTCATATAAAAGTAAATTTATTACCACAAAAATAGGACATCCTGTATGTAGTGCATACATAGCTTTGATGTGAGAGTACACACCACTGTATACTCGATGTATACTGCAAACATGGGAAAAGTGAGCACCCTGTAGAGAAAGGCACTAAAACAATCAGTAGCATAGCATTATGCTAGCACACGTCATCTATTATTACCCAGAATCCTCTCCCTGATTCAACCATGCTCATACCTCAGCCAACACAGAGGCCTCACTGGTGCTGAGTAGGGAACCAGAGGTCACAAGACATAAGTCAAAGTCAAGGTTGTATGTTTCAAACCTGCACTGAAGTTAACATGTTAATTCCAAACATGAAATCGTTGCTTATGTTTTTTTTTTCTTTTTCTAATTAAATGTAAACAGCAGTGAAGATGTATCTTACTGAGCTGGTGGCATATTATTTAGATTTTTCTTATGGTTATGCTTGAGGTACTAGAGTGATAAAGCAAAGCCACAAGCTTATTAAAGCTGCAATAATCATTTTGGCCACTAGGGGACATAAATGCATCAAATTGAGCTGTGCAACATTTTATTTCCTTATAAAGTTGTTTTGATACCAGCTGCCTACATACCCATCCATCTGAAGATAACATCTGGAGCTGTATTTCTGCCCATTTAATAAATGAGTCCATCTCACATTCCTTTTAGTTCTAGTTTGGTCTTTAGCAACTCCTGAGAATAATGACAGGCTTTCTTAGATCAAGATGCTGCTAGATGTTGAACGTCCCCAGCTAGTTGTTACCTTGGCTAGATCTGTAGCTCTATCAGATTTACTGCTGGATAAAGTGTTGATACCAGCTGCGAGAAAGACCCATTCTGCACATTCCTGGGCTGTAAAACCAAAACAATCAGCCAAAATAGGCTAAAAGATCAATAGAGCTGCAGAGTTCATGATAATTCTTTGAGGGTTTGTCAAAATCAGTGGCCTGCTTCACAATATGAAGCATCAACCGAGTCTGTGCTAATATAAAAATACTGACTGGTGCAGCTTTAACTTTATGATGAAATAAATATTTACTTGAGTCATAGCTGAAACAGTCATTCTCACTTTTTAAACACATGGGTGTAGAGCTCCTTGCCAGTGTAAACACAATATTGACATCATACAGATATACAGAATAGATAAATATATACAAAACATTCATATCTCATTTGACAAACTCCAGTGTTTTGCTACAATGATGCACTTGCACTGTATTGGTTACTATCCATGTGTCTTCCTGATATGTGTGCTTTAGCAGACGTGGAGCCAACAGGCTTTGTATATTTGGATTTTATTATGCTTCTTACCAACAAACCTATAGTCCTAAATCCTTCTACGGCATCTGAGGTGAACAACACTTAAATCTTCTTTTTATATTTGGAAACATCAGTCAGAGGCACACAACAACTTGAGATTTGTTGATGATAAAAACAGACTTCACTGAATTGGAATGAAAAAAGCATCAACTGCTACCTGACTAGGACTCAAGAACCAGTACCAAAAGGCTGCCATTGCTCTTCCTCTGGGTGTGAATGCATATTGTTTTGAAAGAGGAAAAGTGACACGAGTCTTTAGCAGCAGGTGGCTCTGGAACACAGCAGGGCAGCGGGAGGTCTGAAATGTCTCTCAAACTTGGTCTCGGTGTTTGGGTAGAATAAGCTTTGAAGGAGCATGGAAGAAAGGCATAATGTAGAGTTTTGTTTTGCACAGAGAAGGCCCCATTTACTGTCTGTGAGAGACCGCCCTGCATTCACATCAGGACTATGAGAAAAATCAGTTACTATGGACAAAAAAAAAAACTGATGTCAAAATAGAGTCCTGACCAGTCTCCTCCCTTTGGCCTTGATTCGTGGAAAAGTGGCGCTTGTTTCTGTGCTGATTGACACTGAGCCATGAGGAGTGTTCCCGCCTTTTCTTCTCAACAAGAAGTCAACACTAGATGATGTCATGGCGTAAAAGACATTACCCATAGCAGGGATGACCAATTCTGTGTCAAGAGAAGAAAAATAAAGACATTAGAATTCAACAGAGCTTCTCCAAAGCTGCTGCACTGTTACATTAGTACTCTACCAGTGAAATGCATGGGACACCCTGGTGGGCTGGATGGCACTGGGAACAATTTGGTGTTCAGTGTTGACTTTTTAAGATCACCTCCCTGATTTAGAATGAATAATACCTAATTAATAATTCTTAAAATAACTCTTTCAGTAAAAAACTAATATATAAATACACAGATATTTCTCATCTCAGAAGTTCAACTGCTGGACAGAAGACACCTACTACTTTATTAAAAAATATTAATATTAATGGATATTGGACCCTGACTAACTTCAAATCAAGTTGGACTGTCACAAAATTATACCTGTAGATACATGCTTTACAATTAGCTTTACAACGAGCAGAAAGAAACCTCTCCCTTTGGCAGATGAATGTAAAAGTGTCAAACACAATGTCACTACACAGTGAAGATAAAATATTCAAGTGAAGTAACAGTATGAAAAATACATTTGGTGGAGTGGGACATTTTTGTGGTGGAAATTTCCTGGACCAATAAGTAAACACATATTCTTTGAACCAGGGCTTAACCTTTAACCAAACTCCGCTGTCCTGTATCAAGATGAAAGGCATTGCACCAACATACAGAATCAAAATTCATTTCTTCATTACCTTATTGGCAGAGGTAATACTCTTCTCCCCGCAAGACCGTTGAAAGTCGAAATAGTGAATGTTAAAAGAACCCTGGGGCAGCATGGTAACATAGTGGTTAGTGCTGTTCCTTCACAGCAAGAAGGTTCTGGGTTTGAGCTCGGGCTGACCTGGTGCCTTTCTGTGTGGAGTTTGTATATACCCCCTGTGCCTGTGTGGGTTCCCTCCGGGTACTCCGGCTTCCTCCCACAGTCCAAAGACATGCAGCTTAGGTTGACTCATGATGCTAAATTTCCTGTAGGAGTGGGTGTGTGTTGTTGTTTGTTTCTAAGTGTCAGCCCGGTGATAGACTGACGGCCTGTCCGGGGTGGACCCTCCCTCTTGCTGAATGTCACCTGGGATTAGCTCCAGCGTCCCTCATTAGGATTAGCGGTATAGATAGTGGATGGATGGATGGGTAAAACAAGCCTGTGCTACAACAGACCTTTAGATTGAAATCTCAAGATGATCTCACGTTTGCGAAGATTTGGATAACTGGTCCAGAAATAGAGTAAACTTCAAAATAGTGTTTGTTTTTTTACAGTGCGGAGGGAAGAGCAGATTAGTTTTCTGTTGCTGCAGTGGAATACTGTACACCTTTACCTTTTCCTTCAGGAAGAAGTTGGATTAGCTCATATCTGGATGACTGTTTGGGGTCCTGATTGTGCTTTTCTAAGGCAGAGCTGATCACAGTGGGTGTCTTGTCATTGCTTGTAACCTAAGGGAATAGAGAAAAATAACAATGACACTCAGCTGGATTTGCACTAATGATATCCTGCGTCCATTGTATCCTGAGAATCTGATTCTGATCACTATCATTATGGGATCCTTGTCGCATATAATTAGGGACAGAGAATTTTATACAACCTTACTATTGCTGTAAAGTAGATACAAATGGTTTAAATTGGTACCAGTATGCTTCGGTACAGGTTGCCATCATGCAGGTCCATCCGTATCCTGATGATGCGCATGTCGGGCCCTGACCCTTGGATGTTATGGATGGGGTTGTTGCCGCAGGAGACCGATCGGCGGTGTGACTTTGTAGGAGTGGTTGGAGTTAATGTGGCAGGTGCGGAGTCATTCGTAGGAGGAGACGTGTCAACATCCAGACAGGACACAGATGGAGATTTCATATGCTGCAATGGAGCAAAAGCAATGTTGTTGATGATGTTTTATCTGGTATAATAACAAAGTAGAGAACAACACTGTTCATCAAATTTAGACTAAAGCAGACAAAGTCACACCTGCATACAGTGTCTATGGAACAAGCTCATATACTGTAAGTGCACAGATGGACTGAATATTAGTAATAGTATGTTACCTTTGTGAGTTTTGAGAGCAGGTTATTGACAGGGGAGGGGAAGTCAAAGAGGCCCTCACTATCACCAACCAGATTGATCTGGGACCTGCTCAGGCTGTTGGCACACAAACATACACATACATTTAAATTAATTCTACAACTAATGATCATTAATTATTTTTCAGACTTTAGACTTTGCTACTCTGAGTAAACTAATCTTTATACAGTATGTTAAAACAGTTGGGTGGTGGAGTGGAGTAGTTTACATATTCTGAATTCTGCTAATGTACTATGGTCATCTTATTGTGTAATGTGTGTTTGTGTGTGCATAGCTCACTCTGGGCACTCTGTAA